ATCAATTGATACTCCACCATTAAAATAACATTTAACATATTGTCATCTAGGAAATACCAGGTGTCAGGCGGACAAGCAATGCTCATATTGGATAATATCAAATCTAGATAATTCTGGAAAATAGTATATACTTAGACCAAGCTTCCGGGGTATATCTCCCTGCTTATCTGCAGTTGCCTTGTGTAGAATATCTTAAACCGGACACGTTTTAATGCAGCAATTATACATTCAGTATATCAGAAATGTCGGGTTTTAAAAGGTCGAATTCAAATTGTAACTAGAAAGTTTAAATAACCCAAGGGTATTGTCAACGTTTTCTGAATAAGGAAATTTTTTTTTCTTTTAATCGATTTATATGGGATGCATTTGCTTTTGGTATATTATTACTTTAAAGAACAAAAGAAGATTTTTATCATTTCCAACATAAACTTAACTGTAGTTGGATGTTTTTGTTTAAAATGGTGAATGAAACCAACGCTTTAGTTGTACTGCAGGAAAATTACCAGGAATTAAGCTTACCAAATACGATATTAATCATCATAGCTGCTGTGATCGGCGTAACAGGAAATTTTTCTATCGTAGTGGTATATTTCTATCGAATCAAAGAAAGAGGAGAGCGTTATTTCATCCCGCTACTCGCGCTTGTTGACCTTGTGGGGAGCTTTACTATTGCCCCGTTCTATGTTATAGGAAATCTTTATTTTTACGTCTATCCAAATGACAATCTATGTCGGATCCTTTCGTTCTGCCAGTTCCTCGTCACGGGGATTTCAGCTCATGTCCTGCTATTGATTTCTATTCAGAGATACCTTTTAGTTTGTAGACCTTTTGGACCGAGAATGACACTCTTCTGGAAAAGAGTTTCCTTTGCATCAGTGTGTATCTTTGGTTTAGCATATTCTGTTCCAGTTCTTAAAACATCCGGAGTAAAAATAATTGATGACATATACATGAACCAAACTGTATCAGCTAGGATCTGTAAATTTTCCGTGGTAAGTTCAACCGAAGTTGTGATTTATTTTGGACTTTTAGTTTTAATTTCAGTGTTGAATATTGTTCTGACTGCAGCTTTTTATACCCCAGTTCTGCGACAACTAAGACTGTCAAAGAAAATAATGTTATCAACTCGTATTGACAACACAAGATATAATCAATACTATTCATTCTCCGGCTCTTCAATATCAAATTCTGCCGATACAGAAACGGATCATTATTCTAATTATAATGGACCTAATAATTCCACAACAGAACACATGTGTGAGAATCCAGTCCCTACAGATACAGACACTAATGATGTTTCTTCTGCTCAACGTAAATCAGAGGAAACTCTACCTGAAAACTCAAACAATGTGACAACCATGAATATTCGCTTCCGCCCACAGAATGTAAGATTACAGAAGAGAATTAGTATCATGTTTCTTGTTGTTATTGTAACATATATTCTTTCTTACATTCCTCCCCTGATTCTTCTTCTACTGACGTACACTATAAAGGATTTCAACTATATCACGCTAACAAAAGGACAAACATTGACTTGGATTTATCTACCACGTCTTCTGTTTATAAATCATATTGTTAATCCGTTTATATATGGGTATTTTGATGCTAAATATAGAGAACAGTTGAAAAAATGTCTTAAAAGATAATGAAAGTTTAATTTGAGTTTAGATCAGTTACAACTGGAGACTTATGCAAACATAAAGTTATGAAGATGAACTGAGTCAATGGTAATAAATATTTTCCATATTTTGTCCTGCTTTTTATCATATCTTTGTTTTTAAGGAATTTTCATATCTAACAAGTTAAACAAGAGTGAATAATTAACTGATTCATTGTTGGAATGGACAAGATGGGATAAAACCCCCTTTTGGTCCCTATTTTGGTAATCTCTTAGAATGAAGCTATAGTCCAGAATCAAAAACCCTTTGTCACCCCCGTTTTATAAGAAGAATTGATTTTAAGTGATAGGATAAACAAAGGTTATAGGAAGGTAAAAAAAAAAACAGTCAATTTCCGATATTTCTCATTTAAATTAAATTTTCATCATTTTTGAGCACATTTTGTTTCAGGAAACACACGGTGCTAGCTTTCTTATCTACAACCTTAAACTTTAATCATATTATTAATCCTTTTATATATGAATATTTTGATGCTAAATAGAACATCGATGTAAATTATTGGCAAACAAGTTGATGAAACAAGAATATTAGCTGTCTCGTTTAAAGTCATCATTTTGTAAGTTCTATGGTCGATACAATGACCTTGTCAGCAAATACAATTTATCACTGAGTCAAATGCTGACTGACGTTTTTCATTCTAATTGTTATGCCATTATTTGCACACTGAATTGTCGACGGATTTTTCCGTTATTTCCCGATCATAACGAGGAGCACATGGCGGGTGTGACCGGTCGGCAGGGGATGCTCACTCATCCATGGCACCTGTTCCCACCTCTGATGTTTGGAGGTCTTATCATGGGCATATTAACTTTCCCAGTTGCCCCATCTGGCTCATACCTCACCCAAAGAGTTATCCCCAGGTAAAGCGTGAATCAAAGGTCAAGGTCAAACTCCAAATACAGTCTTTTACGAATTCCTTTCATTCTAACGTCCTTTGCTGAAAACGGGATTCTTTGAGAGGCTCGTCATCTCAATGATACACGTATCAAGTTTTCGCCTAACTATGTTTACATAATTGTTCAATTGAAAATTGTATATTCTTAGCTTTGTTTCCTGATTTCATATATAAAACTGGTTTGAAAAACTGAAAATAATTTTTTTTACTAAAATCAATATAATAATTGTTTAGATTATCACGAAGATATAATGCACATAAAACAGCAAACTTTGTATAGTGAATAAACCTTTGTTTGTAAAACTTTTATTTGCAGTTGTAGATTGTTCAATTATTTCCTGTCTAGAATTGCTAATTTTTATTTCCTTTTTATTTGTCACTTGATATTAGTAGAAAATTGATGATTGTATTTAGATAATCTTTAGAGTAATATTAAGTTCTCGTTGAAAACACCTCATGTACCCCCATAAAACAAGGAAATACATATTAACTGAAGAAACTAAAACTGTCCCTAAATTTATTTTTATTTTCCGTATATTGGTGTGTGATTGTGTATTTTGGTGTATGATTGTCATGTGTTTGCATAGAATATTACTGATATATGCATTGAATATAACTGATGAACTATAACTATATATATATCTTACGGAAGCCCATTAGTTAGTGCCTACCTGTATATATATAAAGGAAAATCTATTTATAAAAGCAAACCTCAATATATAAAGGAAATGCAAATTTTATAAACAAAACCTCGATATATATAAAGAGAAATGCGAAATATATAAATAAAACCTCGATGTATATGAAGAGAAATGCGAAATATATAAACAAAACCCCGATATATATAAAGAGAAGAATTTACATCGCCTGATCCTTAATGACCTTTAAAAGATCAGTGATTCGCCAACATCTGATAAGCGGTTCCCCGATCTACTGTTTAAGTGCAAACGGTTGATGTGGCTCAGTTTCAGGATGGTATTCAGTGTATTGTATTTTCTTTATTTGTGTGTCTGTATATGATGATTAAAACTAAAAATAATAAACTGCTGTTCTTACATTTCAATCGTGTGGGCCAGAATTAAATCAGAGAGACTTTTTTTGCTTAATATGTATATTTCATAGCACAAAAAATTGGGGGTCTTTTCAATTATAATTCAGTATAAAAATGCATGAGTGTGTGCTTTATCATGTTTTATAAGTTCGTTAACTTTTTACTTTGTTTTGCACATGATGCATGTAGAATTTAAAACCGATAACAATATAAGGAGATTTTGACGGGGTTCTTTCTTGTCATCTTGTCACTGAATAATAACGCCATTATTTTATTTACATGTTTAATAATATTTACAACGTGGAACAATAATCCGCACTATAATTAGGTAAGTGTACACTAACGCGATTCCTTTCATTAAATCCCCAATACATGATTTTTTTCACACCAAAGACACTAAATTATTAGTCCCCTACCGGTGAAACCGGAAAGGACTATAGGTTTCCTCTGAATCTGTCCGTCCGTCTGTCTGTCCATCTGTCCGTCTGTCCCTCTGTCTGTCCGTCCGTCTGTCTGTCCATCTGTCCGTCTGTCCCTCTGTCTGTCTGTCAGTCTGTCCCAGTTGGTTTTCCGCAATTTTTTTTCTATACGCTTGCAGATATTGAGCTGATTTTTGGTATGTGAGTGTATCTTAATGAGTTACAGATCAAGTTTGCATTTCGTTCCGCTTCAATGATTTTTGACGGAATTACGACCTGTTCAATTTTTCAGGGTTTTCCGCAATTTTTTTCTAAACGCTTGCAAATATTGAGCTGATTTTTTGGCATGTGACTTAACCTTGATTAGTTATAGAACAAGTTTGCATTTCGTTTCGCTTCACTGATTTTAGTCGGAATTATGGCGTTTTCAATTTTTAGCGGAAACCAGATTACACTTGCCGGTAGGGGACTAGTATTGCTAATGCAATACTCCCAGAATGCTTGTTACAATTGTAACTGTCGCCTTCTTCTCTCAACATCCGTTCCTTCCTTACATTCAAATAAAGTGGGGAAAAACGTGTACCTTCATCTCTCCCCTCCATCCCATTCCGATTTCTTTTTTAATTATAAATGTTTATCAATGGGCAAACAAGTGACGTTTTTCATACTATTTGTTATGCCATTATTTACACATTGAATTCTCGACGGATTTTTCCGTTATTTCCTGATCATGACAAGGAACACATGGCGGGTGTGACCGATAGAAAGGGGATGCTCACTCCTCCATGGCACCTGATCCCACCTCTGATGTTTTGGAGGTCCGTGTTTGCTCTGCTCTTATTTTGTATTGTTTAATGGACTTTTGAGCTTGAATATTGTTCGTTATCTCCATATATTTCATTTCTAATAAAATTTGATAAAAGACATAGTAACAATGTTATAAGAAGACAAAAAGATAAAAGATAAAGCACTTAATCGGTGTGCATACAAAATGTTTCACTTAAAAATACTCCAAACAAAATGTAGAAGAGATGATTCTTTAAATGACACGTAGGGAGTCTGGGTGATTTTACAAGTGAGTGTTCTCAACTGCGCCGGTAACTGGATCCTCCTGTAGGTTCCTGATGGCAACAACACGTAATAGCGGGTGGTGAACTCTGACCCAAGGAATGACCCTGGGAATGACCTCTGTCTGTAGGACAACTGGGATACCGTGGAAATAATACGTCTCATCAATACATTTCAGTTTTCTGTGAATCTACAAGGATAAAAAATATTTCAGAGACAATTATTGATATACTGAGATCTGGAGTTGATTTTCAGAGTAGATGACCTTGAAACCCCCATATGAAACTCGGACTCCCCGTAAGTTGGTATGAAGAGTCGTGTATATGATGGAAAGCACCCTCCCCCACAGAGTAACTCGTCTCGAACAGTGAATACTAAGCTTAATACTTGTATGTGATACATGATTTCTTAAATTGTTTTGAATTGCAAAAGAAAATGAGACCAAAAAATTCACATTGTTCATTAATGTGGGTGTCTAATCATTGCTAAATTAATAAATCTGATGTATGTGTTTTGGTTTTTTTTTTCTATTTTTAACTTTTTTTTTTTTTTTTTTTTTTTTTTTTTTGTATGTATGCTTTAGTTTGTTTCATTGTTGTCCTGTTTGTTTCTTTCTCCTTTTTTTTTTGGGGGGGGGGGGGTGATTTCTTTAAGTTTTTGATATTCACTTGGAACACCTACAAGATAGCAAGGTCCACCAAACAGTAACCAGAATGGGAAACAGCAGACAATGTACCCTGGATTGAGGCAGCATTTATCTGGCGATGAGCAGTTGTGTACAAATATGTTCATATCTCCGTCGACAGTGGTTAGACCGGAGTTCCTTTTGTCGACCTTTCCATGGTACCAGTCTATCACTGGCAAACTAAAATCAAGCTACAAAGTACATAAATGTTTACATGTTTATAGTGATACAAAAATGATTTAGCTTTGTGAAGTATCAATTATATTTTTTCAACCTATATTTATTTGATTTCAAATTATTAACGTTAAGTAATTTGTTTGACTTACAACTAAAAGAAATGTTTGCCATAAAACAGCAAATAACAAATAAGTGTAATAACTATTTAATACTTGTTTATGAAATTTATGCCTCAAATATAACTTTTTCACATAAAATTCCTGTTGTAAAAGTGAGACTGAGATCAAAAGTAAGCTTTTCTCAGTTTTATTGTTCCTGATATAGAAGTTTCCGATTCGTATATATATATATATATATATATATATATATATATATATATATATATATATATATATATATATATATATATATATATATATATATATATATATAAACTATATCTCAGAGACAATTATTGATATACTCAGATCTGGAGTTGATTTTCAGGGTAGTCCGCACGAAAATTTAGGCTCGCTTTTTAATACAGAATATCTATCTCGCCAAACCAAAATAAGGTGTGGTGAAAATATAGTGTTTACAGTATTTTGAAAACGTTAAATTCGACATTTATTCCTGTTCAGCATTTTTAACGTATTACAAACAAAATATTTTTATTTAATGCAAATATAATCTTGAAAGTTCATATACATCCATATGTATTTAACATAGTAGTCATACGTTAAATACATGTTGTTCATTTTTTTTATGGTAAACATATGCTTTTATTTAGCTGTTAAGTATTTGAAATCGTTTTTAGACGATTTTTTTCTTGGACAAATTAGTGAAAAAAAATTCCCCAGCTCTCCTTCATTTTTAATAAATCTCGTACAGTGATTCTTTTGATATTCTAACAAAATATTGGGTTGTATGCGATCCACGCAGTATTAAAGCTTTAAAGACATATTATTTGTTTAAAGGAAGAAAGTTGTTTCATAATAAAGATTTGAGCTCATTAGTGATTAGTTTTTCACCTACCTAGTACAAATAATGGAATCTATATATTATATGGCAATAAATTAGAAGCTCCTTAGTAAAACAATAAGCAGGTCATTGAGTGATGAAGTTGAGTGCTGATTGTTGTCATTGAGTCATGGGCTTTTGAGCTGATTAGTTGACACTGAGTCATGGGCTTCTGTTTTGTTTGAATGTCATTGAGTCATAGACTTGTAACCTGATTGGTTGTCGAGGGCCTGTGTGCTGATCGGTTGTCATTGAGTCATGGATTTGTGTGCTGATTGGTTGTCATTCAGTCATGGACTTGTTTGCTGATTGGGTTTCCACTGAACCATAGGCTTGTGTCCTGATGGCTGATATGCGTTGAAGGGTTGTTATTGAGTCATGGGCTTGTGTGCTGATCATGATTGGTTGTCATTTAGTCGTGGGCTTGTGTCCTGATTGTTTGTCATTTAGTCGTGGACTTGTGTGCTGATTGCTTATCATTCAGTTACGAATTTTTGTGCTGATTTGTTTTACCTTCAGACAAAATGATTTGTCCTCTTTTATATACTGAGCAACTTCAGTAAGTTTTCTTGCGAGAATGTCTTGAACAACTGGATGCTTTGGATTTACAAGGACTGCAAACTCATCTAAAAATAAAGGTTCTTGAAAGTGTACAAAATGATACCTTTAAGAAAATTAGAAAACTGACAAATCATCTAAGAGACATATATCATTTCCTAAACTAGGGATGGATGTTTGTATATATAAATTCCTTTTTTTTAACCAGGAAAGTAATTGAAATTATGTATTTCCCAAACAGGTATCCCAGGAAAATATTTTAGAATACAAATACGATACCTGATGTTATTTTTCGAACCTTGACCAACACATAATCGTTGTTTTTCTCGTTTTCTACTTCAACGCGAAAAAGAATAGGCTTATTTAAAAGATCACTCTTTACTCGTTCTAGTTCTTCCAGGTTCTCAACTTTGTACTCCCTGTAAAAGATTGAATAATGATTGATTATCAAAAAATTATCGTCGCACGGAATGTATATGCTGCAGTTCCTCATTGAGAATATCTATGTATTCTTTGGAGAACATTTTTTTAACAATCTGTTGCAATTCCGATTGGCAATAATTGTGTTCTTTTTTTAAATTCCTATGAAGCAGAAGTTATTCAAAACTTCTTGATGAGAAAAGGAACACTAGTATTCTTGCTGTGACCTTCAACTCAATATTGAGATACCAATATAACGACCACAATGAACAACAGTTACTATCATTCATATGTTCACTGGATAAATCCCTGTGAACAGATGATGAAAAACACCACAGAGTCTACCACATCTGTTTCTTATTTGGATATTTTACTTACTAAAGACTTTGATATCCAACTAACAAGTTAACAGTATGAAAAACGGAATGACTTCAGTTTTTCCATCCTCAAATTTTCCATTGTTTACTTCTCTTATTCATGTAGTAATTCCTACTTTCTCCTAAATATGGTGTTCATGTCTCCCACATTATTTGGTATACAAGAACATGCTCCGAATACAATCAATATTTTAACCAAGGCAGGCTACAGACAAATAAATTGGTGGTACAAGGCTTTAACAACCTCAATAAAGTAAGCATTTCGAAAATGTTATCGTCGTTATAATAACCTTGTTTGGAAATACAGCCTATCGACGGGTCATATATTGACTGGCATTTTTCATACCAATTGTATGGCCACTGCTTTATTCTGTTTTATTCTTATTTTGACTAAGGATTACTGCATTACTTGATCTAAACAGAGGACTCATGGTGAATGTGACCGGTCAACAGAGGATGCTTACTATTCCTAGGCATCCGATTCCACCTGTATTGCTTCCAGGGATCCGAGTTTATGGCCTGTTTACAATTCAGCATTGAATTATTACTTTTTGAGAGATATAGTCTCATAACTGCAAGGGTGTGTAAAAAAAAATTGAGTAACGCGCGCGTAGCGCTTTATGAAAATTTTTTTGCACACACTGTTGCAGTTAAGAGACTATATCTTTTATAAAATAATGATTCAATGCTTATATTTACATTTTTAACTCCTTGCCTTGACTGCAAATTTGACTTTTATTTATTAATCCCTGTATTATCCTTCGAGTAAATTACAATTTATTTAATGGAAGAGCCATTACAACAGCTTCTTTTCAAAGTGGGCTTGAATTTTGATTTTCGCTTATGACGTTGAACTTCCACGGCGTTAAACGTTTGTGGCGTCAAAATAAACGCACACTTTAATCTTTTGACCCCCTGTCCGTGTTATGGTGTTTTGAATGCAGTCACTTTCTAAGCAAAATACATGTGGAATGTAAATATATATTTTTATCACGGTTTTTTTTATCCATTATCATCGCATGGAATGTCTATGCGTGAAGATATGCGGGGACTTTGAAAAAAGGGAGAAAGTCAAGGAAGGAATCTAATATTTCGATAATAATGAGGTACAAGGTATACTTAACGGTATAACAGAAACAAACGTAGTGAATGATTATATCAAACTTTTTGTTTTTTGTTTTGTTTGTTTGGTTTTTGTTTGTTTGTTTGTTTGGTTTGGGTTTTTTTTTTTTTTTTTTTTTTTTTTTTTTTTTTGTGTTTTTTTTTTTTTGTATGTGAAAGATGCAGAAAAAAATGTCTCTCGAATTTATATGTTTTCGATCATATTTTATTTCATTTGAAAATAATCTATGATTTCAATGTAACCAAGCGGAGATGGAAAACGCAGGTTCAGTTTATAAATTTATTAGGAAAAGAAAAAAGCAATAGCAGATCTACAAATACAAAAACATATATACAATATCATAATACACACAGACTCTGAGACAAAATACTTTTATTTCCTATTCACTTCAAAAATAAGAAAATTTAAGTGTACTAAGCCCAAAACGTCATTTTCATAGTTTAAAATACCCTTCTTTCAAAAATATGAAAAATACTTGAGCTTATAACTTGGACTTAATAAATAAAATACAAAAATTTAATAGATTAAGAAAATTACCTTTCAAGTGGTGACAACGGGCAGCTGGTAATAGGTAAATTAAATTTCCCGCACTGACAGGGATGGGCCCATGCCTCAGTATATATAGCAGAAAAACCGGTTAAACAAGGGGGTACAAATTTACTGGCCAATGAGATTTTGTGAGTAGAATTCATGAATGGAGACTACTACCAAATATGGCATAAAGTAAATTATGGCTCAGTAAGTTATTCAATAAAGATAAAAAATTATTTTAAATAAATATGACTCTGCCACATCAAGTTTTAAAAGGAAAAGGAGTTTTTATATATATTGAAATACTTATTTTCCTGTAAACTATCGAAATCGCATTGTCGTATGCAATATACAGTGTGTACTTCTTTTGTGAAATGGCAAAATCTGTTATAATTCTGCTATATTTGCTTTTTCAACTTTACGGACTCTAATGGCTTAATAATGTATTTGCTTTCTACACAAACATAGTTGTAATACGTATCCAGATTTTTATGCCTTAGTCTCTTTATATTCAAAGAACAAAATTAAAATAAAGTTTAATTCTATTGATGGTTAGGAACTGGTTTGTATCTGAACTCTGTCAGTGCATGCACACAGGTGATAAGGAAGCACTAAGATAATCTAGCTTGACTAAATCAGAGACACAATATGACGTAAAAGTAGGCGAGATGACGTCAATTTTAGAACACAAGTTTTCTTAATGCTATAATTTAACTCCTGAAAATGAATAGAAAGAACAAGAGCCACTTAGGGCCTCTTTTGGCCCTGAGAATTTCTGAAAAATCGAAACTGCTCAGTTTGGGTTGAAAATGCAGTATTTATCACTTTGACCCTTGGTGACCGTGTATCTATTGAACATGATGAAATTTTCTCTCTAGTCAATGCATTTTGACGTCATAAAATTCGTCATTTTTCCCACATCCTGTAAATTCCTTTAAAAATGGCCAAAAGTTGAAGTATTTTTTTCAATATTACATATAGAGCACAACCTCTGATCCAATATGCAATTACATAATAAAAGATCTGTTTCTGAAGATCATAAGACATGTTTTAATTTTTGGATCGTGGGCTGTGCTCATATTTTAATTCTTTGTTGAAGGTAGTCAAATTCGCATGTTTTCTGCAAAATTCAAGAACATTGCATTTTCTCAAAGCCTGTTTACCAAAACCTGGATTCTTAAAAAGAAATTTTGTTGTAGGAAATGAAAGCTTCAAGTCTCTACTTTATTTTGATATATGTAATTGGACAGAGGGTGATAGTCAATTAATTGATATAAGGACAGGGTCATTTTATGCATAAAGTGAACCTAGCTCTTTGCAAATATTAACAAAAATAAAATGTTTTTATTTTGTTATGCTGTATCTGTCACTTGAATTAAAATCTCCAAACCGGTGACGTCATAAATGTTCAACATGTTCAACTTAAGAACTGATCATGCTGTGTAACGAGAATTTGGCTAAAACGGCATGTAAAAAGATACGTAAAAAGGGGGTTTGGAAGCAAATACGAAATACCGTGAATATTGCATGTGATTCATGTGAAGTTAAAGTTTGTTAAACAGGTATGCTAATTTATTTTCATCGATTATATCTTCTATTGAAAACAGTCAGCTATTTATGTATCCCAGTCGGTCTTTCCTCTGTCATTCGTGACAATAATGCAAAAGAACAACACTAAACCGGATACTTCAAAACATAAGATTTGTACATATCGAAAGTTTCCGTTCTATAATACTTGGAAAGCGCTGCTAGAATCGTGAGGTAAACATGGTTTGAAGAAACATCTCGGGTTATATGTATATAATGCAAAACACCGGGGTAAGTTTTCATGCGAATATGTGGAATAATTATTTTCCCGACTGGACAGTGTGATTCTAGCAGCACTTCTTAGCCATAAGAGATGTTTTTCAACTATATTATTTACTCGATGAAATTATTAAACCCCGGCGTAGTGTAGTTCTGTTAACTTATTTGGCTATTAATAGCAGTCACGCGATGACGTTGTGGTGATGCACTTCTTGGCCTAAGACACTCTGTTGTCTTTATGCAATAGTTAATAATAGTTTACGTTTTATCGGTGACTTTGATAAATTATCAAACTTAATTTTCTTTAAAAAATTCTAAATTTCCCAATAATGATTTATATGCTTCCTTAACATACCCGCGTGGAAAACCCAATTTGTTTGCACAGTCAAGTGTCCAATAAAATTTTACTGTGTGGACTTACGATATTAATACTTAACCTTCATTTTAATTGCTCCTCAACCTAGATTAAAAAAAAATTGCGGGAAATACCAACAGATTGGTTTAAACTCTAAATATGAGTAAGTAGAAAGATATTTGAGATTCTAGAGTGCGGGACATTTAATATTATTGTTTTTTAAAATATATCTAAACGTTCAAAACTTAAATTCATTTTTGAATGAAATACAGGTTGGCATATATGAAATTGGCTGTTATATTTCAAGATTGACTAAAATGATAGAATGCATTTAAAAAAAAATGATATACACTCAAGATTCTGAACTAAATAATATTATTTAACCAAAAAAAATTGCTCAAAATATGTTTGCGTAAAAATAACAAACTCTATACATTGAATATTTAATTAAATATTGAAAACGTGTATTAAATCTTCAACATGAAAATCATATACGTGACCAATTTTGATGCACCAGATGCGCATTTCGACAAATTATGTCTTTATAGTGATGCTCGAGCAGAAAAAAATTTTCATTGAATTTTAAAGCTTGCTTTCTTTATGTAATGGTGTTTTCATGTTTCATCATCAATAAATCATAAAATGTAGATATTTATTCATTGAATTTTTTTATGATAAGAATAAAAATATATTTTTTTAATATTAATTAGCCCAGCCTACTTTTCCTCAATCGCAATTCTACAAACTATGCAACATGAGTAGAACTAACAAAAACATTGCCCAACGTCACGATTGTTCTTAAATGAAAAAAAAAAAAACTCACGAGTAATGATCTTTGATTTTTTGAAGTCTCATTCCACCAAGTCTAGAAAAACGTCTAAGTTAATAATGCTTCAAAACTCAAAAAAAATCCATATTGTAATTATTTGATAAAAAATTTAGATTTTGTTGTGTAATATGTTCTGAAAATCGCCGCGGAATTGCCTGACGAGATGCGATATCTTTATATATACACAGACTGTGAAAAACCTTGAGAAACATACGACAAATCTGTTACACGATTTACAGCTTTAACATGTATGGTATATTTCGCATACCCCTTTTTCATTTGGGACTCTTGAACATGTATGGAATATATCGCATACATGTACCCCATTGTCATTGGGGACTCTTGAACATGTATGGAATATATCGCATACCACATTGTAATTGGGGACTCTGTTCCTTCCTGTCATCATGTAACTATAACGCATCCCTATAAAAAAATTTCATTCTATGAATGATATAACATCTGATGTTTAAGGGGTTATTTTACACACCGTTATGGCTGATCAGAACTAGATGCACATGTGACGTCACATAGTGTGTATATGAATTTATATTCAGTTCAGATCTCAACGAATCATTGTCCTAAAATTTGCCAAAGCACATTTTCAAATATTCATTAAAGAAGAGAAACAAAACAAAAATTGGACAACCTTTAACTTAAGATCAATTATCTACCTCAAGTTAGAATTTTTCCCTGTCATGTTTAAAATGTGGTCCGAATCAAAAACTGGTCCAGCTGGTCCTCTTTCAAACAAATTGTGCATCATGTAGGGATGTTGAACAAATTGTCTCCATAACACAGCGGTGTACGGGGGAATATTCAAAAGCTCAGCTTCAGGCAGAAACATCTCAGATTTAACCATAAATCAACGGCCTCTAAATTTTTGGAAAGTTGTTCCGTTTTTACAGGAGGTTAAGTAGTTTATAATTACAAAATAGACTGCTTTTTCATATATAACGACTGGGATTGTAGAAAGGAATTCCCTTTCAGGAGATTCTGAAGTGCTCTTAAAATTTTATAACGATGGTAAACGTCCTCAATAAAAGTTAACCGTAAGGAAAACCCAGAACGAAAAAAGAAAGAAGGGGGGGGGGTCTGAAATATGAAATATTCTTTCCAATCTCAACCTAGCCTCAAAGAGATTGAACCATTCTTGAATCCACAAAACTTCTGGATGCTTCAACATTCATATGACTAAATCAACATACCCCTTTGGTTCTTGATACTAAAGATTTTTTAAAGATTTTTTTTTCATGTATAAAATATAGTAAGTAAAGTTTGAGCCACTTTAATCCCAATTTTAACCCTATGGTCAATAATTCGATTAAAATGAATCAACTGAATTTGTGGAACATTTGCATATACAGCCCCGTCTCAAAATTAAGAGCACATTGGATTTTGGCAGTATAAAGGGCATTTATTTTCTAAATATTTTTACAATTGACAGCTTTGAACTGAATAGTCTTTCTTGGAAAATATGTATACGTCGGTACTTGGTAAAAATATGCAATTTTGATACCTGTACAGTGTTATATGTAATAATGTAAAACTTTGAAATGCTATTAACACGCTAAACTCTTCGTGTCCAAGAGATATTCCCAGTCGATTGAAGAGAGTATACTGATAATAAAAACCTTAGGTGACCAAAAGAACAAGAGTTCTGGAGTACTAGCATCTGGTACGGGTATGAATATTTATTTAACTTTTTGTAATGACAAAGATGCTCTGTTAATGGCACCTTTATCATTTGCGCAACTATTTTTATATTCACTAAAAAGATTTGAATAAAACTGTTTTTCCATTAAGTTTAAGAGACGGTGTTTAAATAATTCGAGATCGATATCAAAGAATCATTGTTCCAGCAAGAACAGAATCTTACCTTGCAAAATGTAGAAATTTAAAGAAGTGGAATAACAAAGTTTCTTAGATTGAAAATTTCAAGCAAGATCTTTAATGTTGAAACTTGTTGAAACAATTTAAAACGGAAATAAGGAACAATAAAAGCTATAACTTGAAGAGACCGAAAATCAAAACCACCAGAGAGTAGAAAACCATTCGAAGACAGTATTTAAAAGATGTATGGTACACACTAAAATAGAAAATGTGCAATATTGAGAGAGGCACATCAAATAGCGCTTCGTGGTTTATAAAGCTTAACACTTCCCAACTCAGGTTATACAGTTTAACTTGGGTGATTAATATTTGTTATGAAAATATAAAAATCATATTCAGCTAAGATGTATTTCTATCTTCAAAAATATGCCCTTTATCATGACAAAAATCAATGGAATCTTAATTTTGAGAGGGAGCTGGAAATATGATTTACCGTGACAATAGCTGGTACATTTTAAAATATTTTTTCCTGATACTAGTATATTTTTTATCAAAACTCAGATCCCATATTGTAACTAAAGCTAATCAATGAGGCGATGATTTGAACGTGAAAAAATTTGATTCTGCAATACATGAGTATGCTTGCATCATATGAGTATTCAGTGCCTTCCTATTTTTCAAAGTTTTAAAAGATTTCTTTCTATATATCCCAATGTAAAATTTAATATCATATTGTGGCCCCACCGGGGGTCATTATTTAAACAAAGGAATCTATACCACCTATTTACATGTATATCACTATTTTTAGCCTTCATATTCTTCTTTGGAAGACTTTATTACAAAATTTCTTCCTAGGTATTCTTATGCAAAACTTTGATTTCCTTTTGTGTCCCCAGCTTAACCTTAGGGTCATGATTAAAACGACCCGGGAATGCTTCCATCTTGATATATATACTCACAACCTTAGTGTTCCTCACCAGTACAATTTTACATTTACTTTCTGCAAAAATATCATTTTCATTCATAAAATAGTAATACAAACTAGAAACTCGTTGCGAGCAACGAGAGGTCTTCCGTCCTATTCTTCATCCTTGTATTATTGTGTGCAATTTAACATATTTATATATGCTTGTAATAATGTAACACACAGGAAATGCGCACTTAAAAAGAAATAATTATCAAGGAAAATATCAGTATGAAATAGGTGAGTAGAATTCAACTCAGACGTTTGAGAAAATATTGCATCAAAATTATTGCTCAAAGTTCATTTTATGCCATTGCAGGCAATATATTTTTTCCTGAGATGACCAGGAACATATTTTATCGTTTAAACAAAACAAGGAGGAGGGATACTCATGAACTCGATTTTTCATTTTTTCTAGCAAAGAGTTGGAATTTATTACAGGTACTCACAGATCAGATGACTGAAGGCCAATAATTCAATGTCAGATTACTTATTTTATTGCCTTTGCAGGACAGAGTATTCATATTTTCGTAAACGGATTGTTCATTTCCAAAAATGCCATCACCCCTGTCCTTAATTGTCAAATTACTCCTAAGAAAGTCATAAATTTCTTTTTAGAAATTGGATAAAAAAGTTTTATTTGTATTAATTTTATATTAAACTAAAATTAAAATAATATCATTTGTCCATTAGATGAATCATTAACACTTTTCGAATGACCAAGGTGGAAAAATTTCAATCCAATGTTTTCTCCGACGTCCGCAATAAACTCAATGCGGACGTCTGAGAAAACATTCAATTCAATTCAATGTTTTCTCGGACGTCCGCGGTTTAATTCGACGCGGACGTTTGCGAAAACAATGGATTGAGATTCTACTTTCAAAAAGCATTTCAATCCAGTTTTGAAAACAGATAAATATCTCAAGTTTGGATTTCTCAATTTTCAAACAAATTATATATTAAGCATAATGAAACGAATCTCTATAATTCCCATAAATTTCATTACAATATACTGAGAAACATAAAAGTTGAAAAATTGGACTATTTTAAATTCGCTTCTGGTAGCGACCGGAAGTATTGACGACGTAGGAAAAGTCACGTCCTGGCTAGTATTTATCACGATCTATAATTCTAAAGTTTCACATTGAAATCGTTTACCGTTCTTGAGATTATCCGCGGACAAAATGTCCTTTTTAAATTCAGAAAATTGTCCGTAACTTGGCACCGGAAGTAAATTTCCAAATTTTCTCTCGGATAAAATAACTTCAGTTTACAACACATTGTTCCTGCAAATTTCATGTAATCCATCAAGTTGTCTTCGAGAAACCGCGTGCACAAAATTAGATGGGCGGAAAAATAATAATAATAATAATAACTAGAAACTCATTGCGAGCAATGAGAGGTCTCCCGTTCGATTCTGAAAATAAAAACGAAAATTCAAGCTGAAAAGTGAAATCCAACGTGATTTCTTTGATCACTTCCTGTGACAAGCGGAAGTGACGACTGACTCGTTTAACCCAAATGGTTTCACCTACTCCTCAAGGTCTATTACTCATAAAACTTTGATCTTTTAATCTTTTACCTGCTTTTAAGATCTCGCTCAAGAAAATTTCTCATTTTGAGGACAGAAAAACACGCGACCGGAAGTGAATTTTTGAAAGCTATTTAAGGTTACACTAGACATTTGCACTCTGAATAACATATTTAAAATTCATTTTACATACTTCATCTATAAAGAATATTTATGGGAAAGTAAAATATTCAAATAATTTTGTTTTTCTCTTAAAACCGGAAGTTTTCGTTTTTGTTTCCGGTGGGACCAACATTTTTCGAATCTGCGAAAAAGATGCAATAAAGTGATGTAATTTTTAATTTAAAAAAAAAGTTGAAATTTTCGATTTCTTTGATCACTTCCTGTCACGACCGGAAGAGACGGCTGACGCTCTGAAAACAAATGGTTTTGTATACATCTTAAGGTCTGTTGCTCATATAAGTTTGGAGTCTCAATCTCTTACCGTGTTTGAGATCTTGCTCAGACAACTTACAATGTGATATTCTTTGCATGTAAAATTATATTTATATATGCTCGTAGTAAAGACACCTAAAATATTACATGGGTCTTTCTAAATGCAAGGATATTAAAGATTTCTTTTTAAAAAATGAGAATAGCGCAGAATTCACAAAGAAGAAAACACTCAATATCGTTTCTAAAGATGAAAACGTAAATTAAAACTAAGAAATGAGAAAAAAAATTCAGACATAATTCGGAATAAACCCAGATCGCTTGCTTTAAAATTCAATATGGAAACTACTACACCAGCGCAATTTTACCATTCATCATCGATTTTTACTTTGTATCAATGCTTGAAGTAACAAGCGTCATGGAGGATAAAACTTTTTGTTATATACGGCGGAATTACAGAATGCGAACTAGCTAGCCAAATTTTGTGCAAGCAGATTAACATCGGAATTCGTTGATTGAGTTTAATTAAACAATAACTGTCAGCAGAATAAATAATCTATTACTGATGAACTGATGATACTGTTTACTTCTTTTATTCCTTATACATATATATTCAACTTTTTATTCCATGCAATTCCATATACATGTATTTCATGTCCATGTAATCTTTTTCTGCTCTACTGTATCAGACCATTTGTCTATATGAAAAGGGAGGGGTGTTACAATACATTATTTCGCGCCAAACGTCACGAGCAAATCTTCGCGCTTTTCTTTAAAATGTTTGTTCTATTGAATGGTTTCCATCATCATATATAATATTGTATGTACCGTACAAATTACTAATTTTATTGCATTTGGACGTCACAGTATTTATGTTTTCCAAGACCGATAATCCATTTCCAAAATCTGCCAGATCCAATAATTCCTGTACATTTCATTGGTCCTTATGCTTGTTTCGTTCAACAAGACGTTCGGCTGTCTCCGTAAACTCCGACCAGCTCGTCTGAGTTTACGGAGACGGCCTCCATTTTGACCCCGCTTCAAATTCTAAAATGCAAATATCTAGAGTTTGAATTTATCAATTTTA